TTACATGACATGACTGAGTCAGTTTACCATTCTGACTTGGGTGGTCCTGCTTTTCCCTCCCTGACTCCTGGCCCTGCTGGTCCACACCCTCTCTTGCACCACATCAAACCATTTGGAAAGGCAATTCAACTTGTTAATCCAACAGAAAACTATTCTCTCAAACTGACTCACCAAAGGGCTTGATTATGGAATGAAGTTCAACAAGGCCAAGTGCCGGGTCCTGCACTTTGGCCACAACAACCCCCTGCAGCGCTACAGGCTGGGGACAGAGTGGCTGGAGAGCAGCCAGGCAGAAAGGGACTTGGGGGTGCTGATCGACAGGAGGCTGAACATGAGCCAGCAGTGTGCCCAGGTGGCCAAGAAGGCCAATGGCATCCTGGCCTGCATCAGGAACAGTGTGGCCAGCAGGAGCAGGGAAGTGATCCTTCCCCTGTACTCTGCATTGGTGAGGCCACACCTTGAGTATTGTGTTCAGCTCTGGGCCCCTCAGTTCAGGAAGGACATTGAGGTGCTGGAGTGGGTCCAGAGAAGAGCAACGAGACTGGTGAAGGGACTTGAGCACAAGTCCTATGAGGAGAGGCTGAGGGAGCTGGGGTTGTTTAGTCTGGAGAAGAGAAGGCTTAGAGGCGACCTCATCACTCTCTTCAACTACCTGAAGGGAGGTTATAGCCAGGCGGGGGTTGGTCTCTTCTCCCGGGCAACCAACAATAGGACAAGGGGACATGGGCTCAAGCTCTGCCAGGGGAGGTTTAGGTTAGATGTTAGGAAGAAATTCTTTACAGAGAGGGTTATCAGGCATTGGAACAACCTACCCAGAGAGGTGGTGGATTCACCATCCCTGGAGGTTTTTAAAAAGAGATTGGACGTGGCCCTTAGTGCCATGATATAGTAATTGGAGTTGGATCAGGGGTTGGACTTGATGATCTTAGAGGTCTCTTCCAACCCTACCTATTCTATGATTCTATGATTCTATGATAAGAGTGGTGCCAAGGAGCATGGCTCTGGAGGGAGCAGAACCACCCCTTCTGGTGGGCAGCAACTCAACACTGTGCCTTAAACCTAGCCACTGCAACCGAAGAAAGCATTGCAGGGCACAGGAGGAAGGCAAACAGAAGAGCACAGGCTCTAGCACAAAGCCTGTGCCTTTGGGAAGGATGGAAACACAAGAATAGGCATCACAAAGCCCTTGGGATGGGGTAGACACTGAGGAGGGCACTGGCAGCAGAGCAATGGGACATTGCACCCTGGTATGCATCAGAGGGGAGCATGGGAACACACAGGCACTATAATGGCAGAAGGAGGAATGAGGAGTGACACAGAACACGGTGCTGAACTGTACTGAGTCCACTCAGACTGCAGTGGTTCTTCAGAGTTCAGGCTCACAATGCTCGTGTGCATGTCTGTAGCCAGCCCTGGAAAAGGTGAGCTCTTCAGGACAGATGTATTATCTTAACAGTTTTAACAAAGCACACGCTATACTATTTTATCCCCATTGTTCAAGAAAAGAGGGAGGACACCATTGTTCACTCAGAAAACAAACAAAAAATGAGGCCTGTCCCCATTCTTCTCAAGAAATTGCCTTACCAAAAAAAAAAATCAGGCCACTAAGTGTTATTGAGCAATAACACCTAGTCAGTCTTACCAGCTCAAAACCTCACTCACTATTACCTTTTCCTTCCTCTCTTAAATTACTGAGACAGGTCTCTCCTTTCATAGCAGCAAATGTTTTAAGCTTGTTTAAAATCTCATTTTCTTAGGGTCTCTCTCCTACTGGTACAACTGCCTCAATAAGAATTGAGGGATATCAGAAATTGTGCTAGTCATCTGGAGAAAGGAAAAGGAAACTGTATCTTCAACCAAAGATAAAATGTCCAGTCTTCTAACAAATACATCTTCATTTTTTCAGGAACAGTTCTTGAGTTCCTCTCTTGAGCTCTTTTCTAGGTAATCAGGAAAAAACAAGTGGAGACTGTAATGCATTAAATAGCAGGATATATTGCAACGTATGAGCTAAGGTACTCTCAAGCTTCCCAAACCAAGGGGCACAGGACAAACTGTACTTGCCTACACCCCAGGGCATCCCTGTTCTCTTTTCTGAATACAAGACCAGGCATTGGCAGAAGTAAGAACTACGTGCCTGGAACCCGAAAGACGAGGAAAGAGAAAATATGATGTGCAATAAATCAGGTACATGCAAAATAATCATGGTGCACCACATCATCCTAAGACTGCTCAGCATTGTTTCCACCTTAATGATCTTTCAGCATGTCACAGCGCCGAATCATGATGACAGAGGGGCAGGATGCACATATCAGATGCAGAATGAAAAGGTCTTTTTATCATTGTGGCCCTATGAAGCATTGGACTTTCTTTATGTTGGAGTCCCCTGTTCTCACTCTGGAAGACTTGTCCGCACCAAAATCAAGAAAAGCTTCTGGAGCAGTTCAGATAAATTTGACCTACACACAGCTAAAGCAGGAATCTCTCTTCCCTGCTTCCCCACCCCCAAACTGCTTATCACTGTATCAGTGCATGAATTTCAAATAGGTTTAAAAAATGTTCTTTAAAAGTAACTTTCTGTTCATAACTGGACTTTAAGCACCCTGAGGGCCTGCTGGCTTGCTTAAGTTCGAGGCCAGAAATGTACATAATTGTCAATCTTTAGCAAGACAGGGAGTTCTTTTCTAACCAGAGCCAGAAAACTCCCTCTGGAGAAACCTCACAAACAATGTGAAAAAAAGCTTTTGAACTTTCCATGGTACAAAGTTTAAAATGAAGACAAAACTGGAATGAGTCAGTCTTGAGCACTTTCTAAGCTATTCTGCATTTCCATAGCTTTACAGATACAGACATTTGGAAGCAGCATTTTCAGTTAAAAAAAATTTAGAAAGACATTGTTTTGTACTGCACTAGCATAATTAATTTTCCCTAAATGTGAAAAAAATTATTACAGTAGACAAAAATTTTAATATGTATAAATATCTCTGGATAAACCCTAACCATATTTTTGGTGTAATAAAAATAGGCTATATTCCCAGATATGAAAATGCATACAATTTCAGACAGATTCAGGGACAGCAAAAACAATTTTAGTTGAAGAGCCTGGAGGAATGCCGCAATATTAAACACAGTATTAAACACAAGTTTACATAAAGTAATTGAGAATACTTCTCCTTATATTTAGCCCAACTCATATAATCTCAGATTATAATGAAAGGTTTTCTCTTTTAAACATTAGATCATTATGATATTCAGTGACAAACAACCAAATTATTCTATTACTTTAATTTCAGCAAAAACTTTTAGAGAAACTCTGCAATGGCATCAAGCATTAAGTGGGATGATAGGCATTCCAGGGTACTGCAGACTATTTTCAGGGCTCAGAGCCCAATTCTCCATTGTCCCAAGGGCTGTGTGCCACTTCTTAATGTGGCAGGAAAATACCAAGTTCCTGGCCTATCAAAAAGCTAAAGCCTGGATCTTGAACATTTCTGAGACCCTCTAGGATGTGCTGGCCAAGTGATTTGAGGGGACCCTGTGTTAGGTCATGTGCTCCTCTGTGACAGCAGGCACACCTCCCAGACGACCTCTGACAGGTGACCACCCATCCCTCCCCCCCCTTTCCTTCTTTGCAGAAACAGGGGACAGAGGAGGTTTTTGGGAGATGAATAAACCACACTAACCCTTTGAGTACCTCAGGAAAAGAGTCTGCACTTAACAAAGGAGCACTTGCATAGCCTTGTGGATGTATTTTGTACAGTTTGTCCTCATTAGAAAGGAAGTGAGTTTAACAGAGAATCCCACTCAGACAAACAGTTGTTTCATTTTATTTGGAAAAGCTACAAACCTGTTACAGTTCACTTGCTAGTATGAAAAGCAAGCTTGAAAAATGGCACTGTTGCGATCAGTGAAAAATGGTTTAAGTTGAATATCAGCAGTGAGGCTGAAGAACATGGTGGAGTGGCCAGGGTAGAAGAGAGCAAATGATACAACCCCCCAAGTTCTGAATTTTAACTATAACACTGTTGTGGACATGCATCTGCCTCACTGACACCTTACACTACCACCCACCTCAGGAGTACAGAACTCAGAAATACAGTAGCTTCCAAGTGGCCTTCTGGCAGCAGTGAAAAACTTAGCTTGGAATCACAGGGACTTTTTCCTGTTCACAGCAAAACTGTCTGAAGATGAGACTACTTTTCATTTAAACTTTATTTCTAAGCTGATTTTGTAACCTTCTCTAATCTTGTTATTCTGCATTCCCCTTCTCCACGGGCTTCAAAGATTCTTTTTTGGTTGCTTATACAACCTCACAGCTGCAGTACGCAGATATCTAAAGCATGGTATAAACGCAGCTATTACTACTACTTAATAAAAACAGAGAAGTTATTCATTGACCAACATTTTTTTCCCTCTTTCTAATAAGCATATCAGATCCATGTCTAAGTGGTGATAAAAAACTATGACCTTGCACTAAGTTTATCCCACAACATCCTCATTACGATGGTATTTAATTTTAAAGACTTTTCACCTGCATTCTCTGCAAACCAGTATGTCTCATCGTTACCTAATCATCAGTAAAGTTCTTTTCCAACATTCACTGACACAGACAAGAAATTAGCTATCTTGGAAAGGCTGCATTAGGGAGCAAGGGAAGAGTAACCAGCAGAAAAGAAAGAGGAGGAAGTCCCTTCCCCCTCAGTTCTGGCAACCATCATATTGGTCATTTTGCTTTGTATACTGCATGTTGCTTTTTGTCATGCTTTGTCCTTACACTGTCTTTTAAGGAACAAGCCCTTTGGCAATGAATAGTCTTTATATGCCTGGAAAACATTTATAGCATGTTGTAGATACTATTGTAATATAAATACTCATTGTCTTCCAGAGTTTCCTTACCACCACCACTCTGTGACACAGCTTTTTCACTGTAAAAAACCTCCATTAAATTGTTTTGTGCCACTGGCAAAGTGCTGTAATCATAAAATATGGCAAATGCTTCATACACCCAAGGATGGATTTTATTGAACTTGGTATTTCTTTAGACAATGCTGTCAAACAGTATTACGTCAAGACAACCTGAAGTAGCTTAGCACATTAGCAAATGCAAAAACTAAGACCTTTAATTCCATCCCAAGACATGTGGAAAAGAGAGGGAAGGAACAAAAGACTTTTGAAGCCAAATTAGCCTGTAAATTAATAACTATCATTAGATTTTAGCCAGGCATCATACTTTTACCTTGGTCCTTTTCTTAGTTTTCATAGATGGATGACTGAGTTTTGAGTCCGTGACTTTCATGTCCATTATGTTTGCTGAAAGAGTACACAACAAATGCAAAAGGTCTTACTCTTCAATTTCTATCTGGCAGAAGGTCATTGTTTGCATTTCTGAAGTTTTTGAAAATAACAGCCTTGACTCTCTCCTCATTTAGCCCAGTTTAACGATACTACAAGTCTGAGGAAATCAGTTGAGTTAATTTCAGCTTAAAGCAAGTTAGAGGAATGCCTAAACCTAGTATTTCTGACATACCTCATACACCTGTAGTTAAAGAAAAACTCTCATTAAACCTACATTAAAAATCTGCCCACTTTATGCTCTAGACTTAAAACTTGCTTTTAATCCACTTCCTTCTGCCTTTTCCACTTCATTTTCCTCCCTTCAAGAATAAAGAACAAAGAAATTACTAATATGAAACTTGGTTTTTAGTACCCAGCTTTTCCAGTTCATTCAGCACCTTTTTTGTTGTTGTTGTTGTTGTTAATTCAGCCTTGGAGCTTGTTGGTCATATTCACCTTGAAATTTTATCCACTGGGCTTTCATGACCTTGTCCTCTCAGTACTCCTTTTGCATTTCTAATAATTCATCCTGTTTTTCCTTCTCATTTTTCATGTATGTACCACAGGCACTTGTAGCCTTGGCACACTTTCTTACTTCTTCTACCTCTTTCACATAGTACATTCAGTGCCTAACATTCCTCCAAGTCCTACTGCTATGCCAATTAATTTTAAATCCAGTTCCACAGGAGAGATGATAAGAACGAAACCATTTTAATTGCATACCTGAAGCCATCTCACTATAATACAAGCATATTACAGTCTTAAACTTCACAACAGCCTATGAAGAGCAAAAGCATTAGTATTCCTTTTCTACAGTCACAAAGAAAAAATCACTTATCCAAAGTTATGGGAAAGCTTGTGGCAGCCTCTGGGTTACCAACCAGAGGATTCATTTCACCTTTCTACCTCCAGATCTGGATATTATGTATTTTACACTTTTTGGGGTTTAGAATGGATTTGCTTAACTTACAGGCAGTGCAGACCAATGGTAGGCACTGTGTCTCACCAGCCCAGCCCAGGGAGCAGATTTGCTGTCTGTTCTCCAAATTGTTCTCTGAGAAGATGGGCAGGAGAACTCACTCAGGAGGAATCCTTGCTCAGTCTTACCACGAGGCTCTGAAGGAGCGACCAACATGTTGGGCTATACTGCAGGAAATTGCAAAATATACTCCACTTTCATAACATATACCACAAGCAAGCAAAGCCACGGTTAAGCAGATCCAATCGGAGCTTACACATCACCTCAGAGGATTCCAGGTCCCCATGTGGCTTCTGACAGCCAGTGTGACTGTGTTGAGACTTTGTCCTTTCACCAGCGCTGCTCTGCCAAACCATCTTTCTTTTTTTCTGTCAGGGGCTTTGCCATGTTCATCAAAGCACGGGCCATAACTCCCGGGTTCTCCTTTCAGCAGCCACATCACTTGCTCCTTCTCCATGCTTTTTACTTTTCCTTTTCTTAATCAGCCTGGCTCTGGCGTTCATTACCACCGAGTTAGGTGCGACACAAGCCACGTGTTATGAGGGAGCCAGCGCACTTCCCTCCCACCCTGCCAGCTATCCGGCAGGGACATTTTGGGGCCTACGGGACTGACAAAACCTGGCCCTCCACTGTGGCCGCCGCCATCCTGCCTGTCATTCAAGGCGACAGCGCCCGGCTTCCGTGTCATACCTTGCTCCTCGGTAACCCCGCCTCACCTGCGGCGGGGCCGCACCCCAGAGGGGCACCGGGGTAGCTCGCTACTGGGGAGAGGGGCACCCATGGACTAGCGATCCACTGCCCGCCCAGCGACGGCGGGGCGTCCCAAGCAGCCCAGGCCGATGACAACCCCCAGCAGCCCTGTCCCTGCCGGGAAGGCCGCGCTGGTGGGAGAGAGGAGAGAGGCCTGTCCCTTCGCCCAGCACCAGGCCCCGCGGCCGCGGCGGTACCGCTCAGCCTCTCCGCAGCAGCGCGGAGGCCGCGGCCGGCCCCGCCCGCCCGGCCCCGCCCGCCTGACGCGCCGGCGGCGCTGGCGGGCTGGAAGTGGCGTACGTGCACAGCGGGCCGCTGGAGTGGCGCCTCCTCCTCCTCGCCCCGGCACAGCGGCGGAGGCGCGGCGGGGAGAGGCGGCGGCCGCGCCGGCCCGCGCTGCACCGGGCAGAGAGGCCGGCGGGGAGCGGAAGGCAGCCCCGCACCGCGCCACCCCGCTCCCCCTCGGCCGCTCCGCCGCTGGCGGGGCGGCGATGAGGCGGCGCTAAGCGGCGTTAGCGGCGCAGGGAGGGCGGCGCGGGCCCCCGCGCCCCGGCCGCCCCGTAGGAGGCCGCGGGCCGGCGGAGGCGGAGGGCGGCGGGACCCGCGGCGGAGCCGGAGCCGGGCGGCCATGATGCAGTGAGCGCTCCCTCCCCGCGCGGCCGGGCGGGGGCCCGCGTTAGCGCCGCTCCCGCCCGCCTCCTTACATAACATAACCCGGCGGCCGAGCGGGGCTGCGGCGGCAGCACCAGCGCCATGGCGAATGACAGCGGCGGCGGCGCCGGCCAGGGCGGCCAGGGCGAGAGCAGCGGCGGCGGCAGCAGCAGCGGCGGCGGCAACAGCACCAGCGAGCGCGATCGGCAGTACTGCGAGCTGTGCGGGAAGATGGAGAACCTGCTGCGGTGCGGGCGCTGCCGCAGCTCCTTCTACTGCAGCAAGGAGCACCAGCGCCAGGACTGGAAGAAGCACAAGCTCATCTGCCGTGGCGGCGGCGCGGCGGCGGCGGGCGCGGCAGGGGGCGCTACCGAGCCCCGCGGCGGGCACCCCCCGCCGCCTCGCGCCC